CTTTACAATAAGGCTTTCAAATAAGTCACGGTTGTACGGCAGTGAAGCATCGGTGTTGAACACTGATGTCATGCTGTCGATGATGATGATTTGAAACGCGTGCCTGCTCCTGCCAAGGAACAGTTCCTGTTAACGACCAGTAAGAAGTGTTCGCAACTTTGTTAGTCCAACACTGTTGGCCAGAAGGAGTACTGCATTATGGGACACTACATAGTAATGTTTTCAGTCGAATAGGAGCTGCTGTCGCTGAAAACAGGGCAGATAAACTACTTGTAACCCGTAAAAAAACACGGTCATCCAGTGGAAAACACCACAGATTCGCACTTGAACGGGTCAGATTCGATGACCCCAAGAGACGTCGTGAACTCCACTATTCAATGTGTCAATTGGTTGTTGATCAGGTAGCTGTTGATCTGTTCTCTAACTTTAGGACGTGACCTACGCATCTGTGAAATATCAGAAATATATACCACGTTGTAAGTAGGTACAGCTGTTTCCTCCAGGGAAATCATTATCATGTGGAACTATGCCCCAGAACAGAGCAATTTCAGCCGACGCTTCCTCACAGAAGAGAAAACGATGGATGCATCGCTTCAAGTGGTCGCCGAAAACGGGCGCAACTGTTACTTCTCTGTAAAGTCTGGCCTAGAACTCTCGAGTCCCGTTCGGTTCCTTAAGGGAGAAATAAGTGTTACATACACCGCCTTTCATTTAGCAGGGAACCAGCTGCTCAGATAGCATCTATCCCGAAAAGCTTACCAAACAGTAGCGTCTTAATCTGGAGCTTATTACAGGCAATCTAAAAAAAATCAAACCAGTTGTTGAGAAAAATGCATGAGTCCAAATACTTCGACTTGGAGAGTCCCAAGATCTGATGTAGCCTTTCGATAGGAATGCGTTAGAGGGGGAAACACGAATACAACCTTCATCTTCAGTGCTAACAGCAGTGCACATCCATGACATTGACTTGGATTTGTAAGCCAGTTGTGCGATATTTGAGACACACACCAACCCCCCCCCCATGAATTATCGCGTCTAAAACAAAGACTTGCATGCATTTCGGCGACGCAAGGCATCAAAATCAGTTCTGCTGTTCAAATCCTTCAAAACCCCTGTTCAACTTTTTTGCGACGCAAGCTATCAATTAGGTTACATCTGCTGATTCGCCAATCTGCTGTATCAGCTGCTGACTTAGCCCCAGTGCCTAGTGCCGGAAAAAACTAACAGGAGAGAACACAACAGCTATATTCCGAACAAGCCAGTGAGTGTGCGTGCGAGTGCAAAAGTTACAACGACCCCGCACTATTTAAATGGCACCTTCTGGCATTGATCCAGTAAACACCCATCAACATCGATCATGCCTCTATGAAATGCCTGAACGCTGACCACATTCGGTCGTGCTTCTGTGACGTGCCGGAACACTCCTCGGCCTTTGCCGAATTGATTGAATGATTGACTGGTTTGGATGCTTGCAGGCTTTCCTGTTGAGATTTTGGTGGAGCAGTAGGTTCCGGGCGTTCTGAGGTTACTTTCTGGAATCGGACCGTCCTGATAAATTAGCTGTCAAAGCTAACCGTTTAATAAGGTTTTAATCCTATAAAGGTACTTGTAACTTCGATGCGACCTTGAATTGATAATATTATCCATCAAAATGTGCGAGAACCACACGAAGCCATTGCGGACGAACCAGTAGGTACCAGTAGATTACGAAGCGTATTCTCCGTATATTTGTGCCGTAACCACTGAGTCGTCATTAAGTCTTTCTTTGGATCGAAAACACACGATTTCAACTCCAATCTCTGTCCTGGAAATTATGTTTGGGGAAAAACACCCAATAAAAACCCCTTGAACAGCTTCCACCCAAACACGTACTCCTAAGTCAGCCAAAGTGACAGTGGTTCTGCATCCCACGAAAAATTAAGACCGGAAGGGAAAATCTGAGGCCAATTACATCCAAAGCTAATCAAAAGTTAATCTGCACAAAGTCAGGCTTCAATTGACGTTCACATATTTTTAGACCCGTTTCGAAGTTTGATGCAACTGAAATGTGACTCGAAATTCCGCGATTTGCGTGAAACCTCAAAATATCATGAAAAAATGTACGGCGTATCTAGGTGACGAGGACCCAGTCATCGGAATGGTCATAAGTGTCTACAAAGAATAGTAACTTTTGATGTGTCGGTTTTCTTCAGCCGAGAGAGGAACTACCAAGACATCCGTCACGACATTTGTTTCACCATCAGCAATGGCAAAAATTATGGGACCACAAGTTCCTTCGCGATAACGCACCCAGTTTGGAAATGAACATGTAAAAAACCTGAAGCTACTATTCAATGGGGTAACTGCACAAACTAATTTGAAATATCAGACGACGTAGGAAGAACAAAAACTGTGAGATGCCTATAAAGCCGCTATGGTTTCGCTCCTCTTGACTGAGTTCCAAGCGCACTTGCCACCGTACTTTTAACACCTGGAAAACGTAGATAAAGACAAAGAAGACAAAAGAGTCCCTTGGTAAGGTCAGCCCGACCAAAAATCACACCGATTGCATGATTATCGCCAGTTCTCACAAAGGAATTATTAATGGCTTTCAATGAAAAACAAAAGAATGCTTGCACGATTATAGCACAGTGATCTTTGAGTGTCCGTAGGTTACAACTCTGTGGGAAACACCCTGAGAACAAGGTTCCCAACACATTTTGAATTATTCTTTAGTAACAATTACGCAGATCAAAGGCCCCGTGAGATAACACCAATATCGTGAAGCATTTGTCATACCTACTTGTCAAGATTATAAAACAATAAGAACTGCTGCAAAAACCTTCAGTCTCCTGCCCAATTAGACGGGCCTCACGCCATGTTGCTGAAAATTGTCAGTGGTGACTTACGATTAGGCAATCCTGCCATTTTTTTCTCTTAGAGAAGTAACGAATCTTAAAGTGAACTTATCATTAGGTAGAGCCCAAAATTTATGATCAAGGAGATAGAAGGCGAACTGAGACTGGAATATTGAAGCTTTTCTCACCGAATTGAACCAGACTCAAAATATCACAAAGTACAACAAAATTCCGAAGAGCGTTTAGGACAGAGTCTTAACATTTTTCCTTGCACGCAACCCATACACCAAATTTTCAGGCTTTCACAACCCATCCTCTTCGAAGAAAAATTAGCAAGCATTATCAACGATGTCAAGACCTCGTTCATCTGTGAGGCTCATTTATCCTGTTCCATTTGTATACGATTTGATAAAAGTCGTAGCGCTCCGACCACATGCACCGTGATGTCAAAATGTTCTTCATGATTTTGCATGTAGTCTCGTGGCGAACTAGGTTGAATAACATCTTAGTGTTTAGCGAAATACACTCATTTGAATACCGATTTGGTATTGACGGGAGACTCACTTGGAACCCGGCTGAATCTCTCGTTTATGTTTTTAAGCAACTAAGTAAGCTGCACCAGGCCACTCCATTTCGGTTGGTATGATATTACAGATATCGCGATATATGTATAGAAGTAATACACTACTCAGGAGGTTGCTGAAAACTCTTTTACAACCCATGAGCGCTTTCGTCCTCCTTTGGGCTCATCAGGTACGTGCAACCCCCGAGTTTCTGACAACCTTATGTTCTTATTGAACTCAAATTGCACAAAATTAGCAGAACACACTCATTTGCATACCAGTTCGGTATTGACGGGGGACTCAACTGGAAACCAAGAAGGGCGAAACTGGTCGCGGGATGCTTTCGGCAACCCTATGAGTAGTGTATCACATCCCTTTTTCATTTGGTTGCTGGAATGTGGAACCTATAGCTCGCATCAGGCGTTTGGATGCGACATAATAAGTTCCCACATTTTTATGGATGCAGCATGAAAACCCCGTTCCACACGTATTCGTTTGTACATAATACTTGATAGAACTCAAAATAGCCATCGCATCATGTCGCCATTCATGAAGAGTCAATCAGCACGTAAAGCACCTGTGATGAAGTCTCAAAACGAAATACAACACTTTATAACATTAGCTTATTTGATATTCCAAACAAGCGTTGACAAAGTAGTTGGTGAATAGATATAGACGGAAGCGTTCCGACATTGTTGTACGGCAAAAATGAGACTAAATATTCAATTTCATTGGCTTGATAGGGCCTTCCGCAGGCAATCAACTAAGCAGGTCAAGCAACGTGAAGCCAAGAATGAAAGCATTTACTACCTCGGTTTATCAGCTAGACACCACATACATCCCCGTGGGACGTTTCAAAGAAGACTTACTCTTCTGCCATCATAGCCCATGTATTACTTGGATATTCAGCTGCGAAATCTTCTGTAGCCTACAAGTAAAAATGCATCCGGAGCTTAGCAGATTCGGAAAATGATGCAATTCTGAGTGGTTGACCTATGGAATTTCAGATGCTAGCCAAACTAGCAATGTGGGTGGGCTTTTGAGCACCTGTACCAGATAAAATAGTAGGTCAGGACGCTCGAATAGTACAGTTTAGGTGGTATCTTCAGGATTCTGGTAATCAAGAACTCCACTTTTCCGCGCATAAATTTGCAAAACCGGTCGCCGAAACGAGGTATTTTCTGGACAAACAGGGTGTAGGATGTTAAGCTACCCTGTGAAAAATAATTGAAAAGTAGAAACCGGACGAATTATGACAGACACAGTACGGCGTAGGAAACTTTGAATGACAGTACATCTTTTCGGTGTAGTTAAAAAAGCTGATCATTATAAGTACATAGAGACTTCTCACCGGGTTCAATATATAGCTCTGTGGAGACGGTTGGCCCTAAACCTAAAGAAGCTTAAAAGAAAATGAGGCTAAAGAGGCAAAAAGCCACTAGGACGAGTCAGTGAATTTCAGGGAAGACCGGTTGATTCACACGGGAAAAAAGAGCCGAAAAAATGATTCGTCGTTCCTTTTTCAAGAGTGGAGAACGAAAACGTCGTTGGACGAGCGCAACGTGGGAACGACTACAATTTATTTCGAAAACAAAACACAGACCAGTGCTGCCAGCTTAGTCATAACCAATAAAAACGCACCTACTACGAAATTTCATAACAGGATATTTGACTCCATTTTTGTTTCGATCAAATTACCCAAACATATCGTGGAAATTCATCAACGCCCACATTCATTGTAACCTCACAGAATCTTGCGCTCGCTTTTTCGGGAAGCAATTTACTTCAATGGGTGTGCTATCTACTGATGCATTTAGGGAACATTTACCAGGATTTATCATCAGGTTAACTTCCAGGATGCTTAGTTTCCACCTGTTGAACTGAAGGAAGTGACTCGAGCGCAATGAAGGGAGTGAGCATGTAATTCATACATTATACTAAACCAGACTGCATATGGGAGCACATGAGCGCATATGGATCCGATCTCCAGATTCTCCATATCCACAAGCGAATGAAGTTCGATTCATAAGAGGTCGTCGATAGTGTGGCCACTCTGTTACCCCGGTCCATGACAGAAGACTGCTTTCAACTCCACTCTCTCCTGGATGACGCATTGAAATCGAAGGGACAGGCAAGGATCTTCGGTGAGCATGCTTTTATTGATGACTGCAAATGAATGAGCTGCAATGAAAGCGAAGCCCAGTGTTGAAACCGCGGTCCAAAAGCCTATGCGCAGCTACTCAAATATTAGTCAACTACTGCCCGAAAGGAGAAAATCGCGAAGAAAGCAGACACCTTACTAATCATCGTGGAAAATGAACGCCAGGTTGCGGCCGACGAAAGACGTTCTTGTGAAGTCCCGGTGGGCTTCCTTGGAAGGGGGATCGCTCAGATACACCACTGGAACAAACGACTGTACGTAGCTATGCAGCCAAAATTGATTTAACCAACTACGCAAAGCGCTGCATATGGATGCACTCTTGGACATCCTTCCAGCAGAACTTACCCTGTCCAAAGAAAGAACAACACCCTGGGGAGACTGAAGCAGAGTTAACGGTCAATAGGAACCCAGTGCGCGAATACTCCCCACTGGAACACAAGTCAAACAGGGGCGCATTTCTTTGAGGGATTACTGCAATACGTTACTGTTTAACAGACAACAAGAGTAACGTGGTCCGGAACTTATATGACCTTCTGAAGTAAAATACCTCATGTGGTATGCAATCCTAACGGTTGCGTGCATCAAAGCTTGGGGCCATCTAAGGCATCTTAACGTCACGAGATATCACTAGATCCCTAACAGAAAATTTCAAGCGTGGATCAAACGTTTTCCACCAAAGGATTCAGCAGTATTCCACCTGCTCCCGTTTGTAGTATTCAGTCGTGTGCTAATGTCTTACTAATGTGGGTGTTTTGGCCAACTTGTGAACTGTTTCATGACCCATGTCGTCTCCGCTCCAAAAATGAAAAATCAAATTATTCGACTTTTTCACGCTTCCAGTGGATACCCTAGACAGATGGTTGAAACACACGGGGGCCAGATTGTCCAAACCCAAACAGGGGTGATAAAAACGTTTAAAGTACATCATACTAGGATCGAAGGGTTCGCATTAAATCTTAACTTGCGAGATCAAGTGGAAGTCCTTCCTAAACTACCAACGGACTGAACAGTTGGATAACGGTGAAGGATGGAATAGAAGACAGAAAACGGACAGACCTACATAACACTATTCAGTCCAGCGAGTCACACAAAATGTTCTCGAAGGGTAGTCGGAAATGCTTTGAGAAAAACTGTTTGTAAATTTATTTAAACGGCGACCGTAGTCACAAATTGGTGGCCATGATTGGCAGCAATGTAGTGACCCTGAATACTGGCACTCCATTCCTCAAATATGAAGAACGCTCTAGTGTATAACTGAAAGAAATGTAGATAGGGGAATTGGTGCGAAAAACCCCCATATTCCTGGGGTAAATGATTCGGAGGGCTTCTCCACAGTTCGACCACGAGGGAACAACAGCAAAACTAGTCTACCGCTAGGTTTACATATATCATTGTGGTCAACTTAGTGACTAGTCGGTAGAGCCATGCTTCCTCGCTCTGATTAGTCGCCAAGTTATACCAGGCTTCAGCGAGTAGAACGTGATCAGACAATCGACCGCTTGGTAAAGCCAGCATAGCTGATTTAGCCGCACCACACAATCAAGTGGACGAACGTCTGATTTGTTGCCGAAAACCACACGTCCACGTCAGCGTTGCTAATCCGGCGTCCATGTGATACACATGCAGTGCTTCGAAGTTGCTGATAGTCAGTGCACAAACAAACAAGGCATGCGGACTTTCGAATGGCCACCCAAGTTGTTTGGGCTGAATAGGAGCATGCTAAGGTGTGAAAATTCCGGCACCCAATCCGTTGGAGGTACTGTCATTAAAAGAGGCACAACTACCAAGATCATTGAACCCATCAACAACTTATATTGCCTCAGATACCGCCACCAAGTTTGGTGTTATCCTCTAACAATCTTGCAGCAATATCATTAAGGCTGTTTGTCCTATCTTGTCTTTGGGTGGAATCTGACCTCAGGACCACCACACCATCCGTATACTCTAATTCAAGGTATTTTTATAGAAGAAGCATAGATTATATGCATCCAATCATTCATACAATGTATGTGGCATATATACATGAGCTGAGGTAACCAGACAGGAAAAAAACAAACTTCACAAGTGCAAACCCTTTTTCCTAGGATCGTTGGTCACTCTACATGGGCATCAATCCGATGGTAAACCGTAATTTAAAGTCATAAACAGATAATTGTGAGCGAGTACGTATACTCAGATTAGAAATCCATCAATCGGCGTGGGTGTTCATCGTCCCACAGGGACTGACAGGCAAGCATGTGAAAGGAAGTGCGATGAGGTCTTCACATAACCAGTTAAGGGAACGTGGGGGTGTGGTGCGCAGGACAGAAAGCAGGTTGACGCTAACGCCACAACCTTGAACAATGTATGCCAACCATTTCCTTCCCAACAACTGACCCACCCACGCTAGAAAGACATGATGGGATCGGCCCGGTACTTAATGCGGCTTTAGGCCCGGTGATCAACAGCGTGTGACATGTTGACGACCAAATGTATTCTAAACAGTGAACATCAACAAAGCCGGTGTCAAACTGTGGGGCTAGAAAATGCTTGTCGGACCCTCTAATGGACTTGGAATAATAATAAGGATAATAATAATAAGGATTGAGGTAGATAGCTAGATTAACTGATTACGTAGGGTTAGTGGGGTGGAGCATCCGATTCCAAAAAGTGGAACTTTGGGAATGATCAGCAAACAATTGTCAATAAAGCGACAGGAAACATCAGATTCACCCGATCTAATTATAATATGTAATCTCTCCATGAACAGAGCATACGTGTCAGGCAACAACTATCGCAAAAAGCACAACCGAATAGCAGTGTGAGTCGAATGCATCGAATATATAACTACACTGAAGACAAATTGCGTGGTTTCACTTTACCAACGAGGCAACAAAGCAAACATTATGAAAACACAGTGAATGGTCTTAGCTACGACGTAATCGTAGACCTAAATCAATGACCAAAAGTAGTGGGAACAGAAATTCGGCGTCCACGTGAGCTACTCGAACAATGAGAGGAATGAATTCAATGGTTTATAGTCCTGAACTCAGTTCCGGCTAACGCACCAGATTCGAAATCGAAAACCTCCTGGTACGTAAATATAGTTTACTATGGTTTTGATCTGTCGGTTTCAGGGGCTAGGCTACACACATATTATAAACAGTCCTCGATCGGAGAATTTACTGCAAATGAGGTGCCCATGCAGCTACACGCTACAGCTCCTCTGCTGTTACCACCTCTCTATGATAACCACCTTCAGCCGACCCGACCGAATTCATATTGTGATACTTGGTGATTGCTTCCAAATCTCTGTCGGAACAGATGGAGAAAAGTTACAAATTGGCGGTTTACCAAGTTTAAATTGGGAAATGGCTGAAAATGGTTCGGAGACACATTTGGATTCGCTCACAAATGTCAAGTTGCAAAATCCCTTACAGCGCTCACCCCAGGATGAATCGCTATCCACCAGCCTGGTCAACAGCCTTTGAAGTATCAGAGCGCTGTGATGCCAGTGACCATAACGACCACGCAGAGGAGTTTTTTCCACCTCTTTCAAGTCTTATCTAATTGAAGACAATCGCATGGTTGACCGGCCACCCAAAACCGTAGGATGCTGGGCTCAGATCTCCCAAGAGATTCATAAGATGTGCACTGCTGACGAGTATGAGCTGTGCATTGCCACGCAGACTTTCAGCACAGATCAACTTCACCCACAGGATAGAATCTCTATCGAAGAGGTCGAATATTGTCGCTTGCAAGAGATACGAGTGAGACTCCCAAGCTAACTTAACACATGAAACTATGACAAGGACTATCGATGACTACAATCATAAGTTTCCGTTATCAAACAGCTGGCATGTGCACAGATTAACATGAGGGATTATAAATCCAAATATAGATAGATAAACGGTCAAAGCGATGCATTCACGAAAATACACAGTGACACTGTTCTCGATAGGCAAACATTCGGGTAAATTTGGCCGAAAATTGGAGCAAAATGTAAGAATAAAAGCAAGAACTAAAAGGATTATGGCGTCACGCTTAAACTCTCAAAGTTACAATTATCTTTACCCTGTGTACTGTAGAAACGAGTAAGTCTACGAATGCGAACATTATCGAGGAAACAGATACCAGGGTTGCACGAAACATAGACCCACTTTTGTCAGTAGTGTTTGTGCCACGCGTTGTGGATACTCTTGGTCGGCGATGAGGACACCACAAAGATTATCATGTCGAACAAATACGTGACATATGTATTCTACAATGTAACCAAGGTTAATCACGATAATGAAAAAGGTACCTTGTTCCTTAACCAATCCACGCTGACAGCGCTCGGTTTTCTCACCAACGAGTTTGCCTGTGAATACCATAAATTCTTTGACACTGCTCCGATGGAAATAACGAAAAGTGGATAATTCATGTGAGGCTTGAAGCAGCTTGCACTGGTCCCCCGTTTTGAAAAGTATTTGCAAAGAGAATAACTTCATTTTCTGTTAGCTGATGACTTCTGCAAATAAGGTGTAAAAACGTATTACTAGTGTTCCTGAATGCTGGTGCGTTGGAATACACCACCCCATCTACCACAATAAAAGCGTTTTTGGAGGCAGAGAACTCATGTCCAGCAAAAAGCTGTTGTGCGAGAACTTTTGTCATACAGTTCAGCAAAAAACGTGCGTAAAAGGAGACCAAGATGATACTATTGCGTTGTAGAAGTGAAAAGTGGCTTTGAACCACAGACGGTGTTCATCATGAACAAGTACACACAGTCAGATGTCAAGCCCACACAAGAAGAGATCCTTTTGATCGGAACGTAATTGTCAGTGGATGTGCCACTGAAACGGTTCTAATCTTTTGCGTTTCTTTTTGGTAAATCGCAACTCATTGTCCATCCAGTGTGGTGCGCTTCTTGGGTGCCGACTTCTGGGAGGTGGACTGAACCTGCATATAAACCCATAAAGTCTTATCACCAAAAAGATTATTTAAAGCGGATAGCTTCCAATCTGTTCCTAACGCTGTTCGTGTCACTCCATCTAGGTCGGTACGCCAGACGTTTCGACATGGTTTGGAGCCTTGATAGACCCGAAGTAGCTTTTTTCAAGTTGATTCGCGCAATTATACCATCAACTTGTCGTTTGTGATAGTTTGTGAAAGTCACATCCAGGATAAAGGATGTGTTCAAAATGGATTCTTGTCACTCATAGCACATCAAATTGAGCAGTAGAAAGTAGCAGTCTCTAAGAACCTATAACCGAAAATGCTCTCTAAGACTGAAGTGCAACTTGACTTCCGACCAATTGCAGGAGCACCGAAGTCTATAGGCGCTGAGCATTGCGAATACTTGCCACATCGTGGGCCTCTGAGAACACCTGGCTACCTATTGAGTTCAGACTCCCACACACAGCTACTACTAGAGCTCCTTGATATCAAATAGGATAACTAAGACACTCTCCGTCCGATATACACCATCTGGAGGGAAGTAAGGCAAAAGAAGATGGCACAACTAAGCCTTCTGTCAGTGCTGTCAGACATTTCGAAGTCTCCTGAGTCCAGAAGTTTAGGGTCAACCACATTTTCTCGAAGCCAATTATGTCCGAATTGTCCCCTGGAACAAATCGCCTTAATTCACCCTCTTCCTCTTCGAACACTTTTTGTTACCACAGTGAGACCACTTTTCATGGAATGGGGACCAGAAGGATCGGCTTACAATGTATTTTGGAGACCAATGAGTCACTTTGGAGTCCACAAGGCGATCAGTTGTGCCGACTTCCTATGATTTACAAAAGGTGTGCAATTTCTTTCGGCTTCTACGTGCCCTGTGGACTAAAGTTCCGCTACAGGTAATAGAGTTCTTCAAGGAGCCGACATGCTCTTCGGAAAATGTTTGAATCCTCCGTCGATGGCACCATAACATTCAACTGGTGAGAGTTGGAGCTGCGCTACCTCTTGGCACATAAAATAGAAATGCCTTTCCCGTGGACTACCTCTTGGCTTTCCCAGTTTGGATGCACATAAAATAGAAATGCCTTTCCCGTGGTCAAAAAGTCTAGAATGACAAAAAGAAAGGAGTCGAGTTGCGAGGGACAGTGGTTCCGGGGTCTCAGTGATTAACAGGCATGGTCTCCAAAAATGTTTTACCTATCCATGTGTTGGGCAAAACTCCAGACCGCTACCGCCTTACTCCTCGCAGTTGAGCGCTGCTACGGCCAAGAATCCCACCCCTCACTCGGTTCACCAGAAGATCGGGCCGCTTGCCAGTCCATCATCAAGGCGATTTGTGGTTGGCCAAAAGTGAAGGCCGAAATCCGCCGAAATGCCGATTTCGTTTGGCGCGTCCAGAAAGCGTCAGAATTCCCAGGATGTATCGCTCCTGTACACTATATATATACTTTATATACGTGTTTTTGATACCCGTTAGGCACCTTTGGGGGTTGTCCTGACAAGAACGCTCAAAAAGGAACTCACTCTGGATAAAGCACATGAATAGACTAGGTTATTAGAATTAGACAACAAACAGGCTCAGTCGTACTCACATAACCAACCGACACCATTCTCTGAAGCTGCAGAGCCTTCACAGACGTCTACGGTTACCCTGTCACAATCTCCCATGATTCCACGCTCTAGCTCTGGTCAATCAGATCTCGTATGTCATTCTTGCGGTCGTTTCAGGCATCCTTGGTCCGCAAATTAGGCGGCTTGTAAATCATGTGGCAAAACAGGTCATTTTCAGGGTTTTTATCGATCCAAACTTATCAAACATCACTCAAAAGCACGAGCTGTTTGTCCCGCACGGTGACTTTAGGCCTTCATAGACATAGGAAGCTCAGGATGTTATATCTGTTTTGGTAGTTCATACACATGACTGAAAGATATACGCTGACGATTCTGTGGTTACCATGGCATCCACTTCCCTGTCGTGTTCAACTAGCGGCTACTGGTAAGTATCCACCGATTAGAGGGATACTGTTTCCAAAGAAACAAACTATTATCCAATCTATGTGCTGAAGTGCTGTTAGGCCACGACTTCTTCGGTGTACATGACGAAATCGAAATCACCTTCAGAGGGTGCCTAGATCTATTCACCCTCAGCGGTCTGACCGTTGCTACAGTTGGATCACCGCCAATTTTCAGTAACCTCTCACCTGATTGCAGGCCTATCGCCACGAATTCACAGTGGTACAACCTTGACGACTAGAAATTCATTCGTTCCGAAGTTAGTCGACTATAGGATGAAGGTATAATCGAACGTTTGGGTTCTCCCTGGAGGGCTTAAGTACTGGTCACGAAAAATTCAAACCAAAAAAAGATGTAGGGTAAAGGTCTACAGTCAAACCACTAATCGGTTCACATATCGAAACGCCGATCCGTTGCCGCGATTGGGTAAAAAGATTGAAGAAAGTTTCCGCTATGTTGTGTTTAGCACCTTAGACCTATTGAGTGTCTACCATCAAGTTCCAATCAGTACGTACAAGATTTTTTGAAGCATGCGCGGAACTGTTTCAGTTCCGTCTCGTCCCTTTTGGTGTAACCAACGGATTGGCATGCTTTCAACCTACTACTGATCGTATAAAGTCTGAAAACTTAAGTGACACGTACGCTAAAATTGAAAACGTCACTATTTGTGGGACTACCCAGAGCAGGCATGGCCGGAACCTCAAGTCTTTCTATGAATGAATAAAAAAATATGGAATTACCCTTAACTGTAAGGAAAGCACCAAGGCAACCAAACAGATCTACCTTCTCGGCTATAAGGACTCTGAAGGAGTTATCAAGTCAGATCTTGGACGAACGCGCCCTAATCGTCAACTCCCTCATCCACATGGCGTTAAATCCCAACGAAATTGAGATGTTTGCTTAGTACTCGCAATGGATAACACGCTTTTCTGACAAAATCAGTGTGCTTGCCAAAAACTAAACCTTCCCCCTACCAGGGAGTGTCCAATAGTCCTTCGAAAATTTACACAAAGAGTTAGAGGACCCTATGGATGTGATAGTCGACTACAACTCACCCTCGGTTATTGAAAGGGACACCTCAGACATAGCCATTGCTGCATCTCCGATGCAGAACGGCCGACAGGTGGCCTTCTTTTCTAGAGCATTGACACAAGAATCACAAGGCTACTGGGAAAGAAACATGCGCAATCTTTGAGTCCATCCGTAACTGGAAACAGTATCTCTTAGGGAAATGATTCAAGCTTATCACTGATCAATGGTCGGTTTCCTCTATGTACAGAGTCACGGAAAAGTAAGGTGGAAAGCTACAAAATCCAACGATGGAAAATGGAGCTCCTCGCTTTTAGCCTACAGACCTGGAAAAGACAATCTGGTAGCTTACGTCTTGACCCATAACTTATGCGCCAACATGATCATCAACGACATCCTGGAATCGCCATCCCGGAATCGCTCGCATGCACCACTCTGTTCTTTCCAAAAACAATCCACTTTCCCCTTTAGGTGTATAAGACATCGCTTGAAACTGTACGGTTTGGGCCGCCGTCAAACCGCACTTTTACAAAACAACCCCTGCTACGCTCATCAAAGCGACCCAAACATTCGAACGAATTAGCCTCTACTTGAAAGTACCTTTGCCTTTCCCTTCCCTGCACAGACATGTGCATCTACCGTTACTTAATGTTCACGTGAATTTTACTTTGTTTGGTTAACCTACACACGTACATTCCTATCGTGTGTGCTCCATCATTTCCACACTCCTACAAGTGTGTAGTAGCCCAACAACTGCTTATAATCCCCATTGCGACGGGCAAGTCGAGCATCCAAACAGGACACTCTGAAGCGCAATCCAACTTAGACTTAAGACGAAATAGCTTGAAGCCTGTCATTGGGCGCCAGGTCTATCAGACGCCCTCTACTTCACACGGTCCCTTCTCAGCGTCTACACTAATGCCGCTTTATATGAATGCATGTTTCCGTTTGAACGCCAGTCATCCTGTGGTCTATCTACATCAACCTGACCAAATATATCAGGACCTGGTTTGCTGACTTGAATGTGACTCAGAGTATGAACCAATCACTGAGGAAATAGAATTTATAAATTGCAATCCACAGTAGGCCTATGTTCTTTTTTTCAGGCGAGAATGAAGGCACTGTATCCGTCCACCATCTTGCTCCTTGTTATGACCGCACATTTATCAACGAGTTCATGTGTATCTCATCCAGTAAATGCAACGACGCTCATACACCCCTTTTTTATGACAATAACGTCGAAAATAACGTCGATCATAGTTCAGTCTCCCCTCCGTGCTCGGGCGCTGGACCTGCATCTCCAAATACATATGACCCTGGAACTTCTGATTTAACAAAGCTCCAGCAATTTACACAAACCTACATTTTAAGAAACCTAGAAGCCTGGCCACACTTCTCATTTTTGGAATTTTTGGAGCTAAAAGCGGACGAGGTTGTATTGGCGTGAGTAGTTATTAGATGCGGGGCTGAAAAATCAAGCAAGCTGGCCAGTGCTTCTAAGCTGTGC